ACAATGATATACTGACAATGTATAAAAGATGAACAAAAAAGGAAAACATATGCCTATTCAAAATAAAAAGAAATAAAACAAAAGAATAGAAGGGAATAAAAATAGGGGTAGAGCGTAAGACTGTACAAATTAAAAACGGGACAAATGAGTGAGAAAGAGAAAGGGATAGAGAGAGAGAGAGAGAGAGAGAGAGAGAGAGAGAGAGAGAGACTGACAAACAGACAGACAGACAGACGGACAGAGAGAATTGAAGCCTGTGTGCCTATGTTACGTAAATTCGATGTAACTCAAGGGGATGAGAATTTCCGAGGAGACCGCTGAGGGTGGTTAAGAGGGTGATCGATAACGACACACGCAAGTCCAGCATCCCCCTTTCGACCTCTGGATTACTCCTAATGTTTTTTCCTTTATAAGACCAACTTATTTCATAGCTTTTTCATAGCAGTTCACGAAATAACACAAATAATTTTTTCATATAGGCAAATTTAAAGACATATTGAAATTTATATTGTTTTTCTTAAATATAAACTTACTTACTCAATCTTACTTGTCAAATAAACATATAATGATATGTCAATATAGTAGTATATTTATTAAAATTCTATAAAACATTAATACATACGATTTATATGATACAATAACAAATGATTAATTAAGAAATTAAATAAATAAATAATATTGAAATGTTAAATATTTGTATAAATTGTTCAGAATTAAAAATATTTTGTTACTTAAAAGGATTTATAATATATATTTCGGTTGATTATGAACTAAATTTTCAATAAAGTTTTTATTATAATACTAAAATATTTTATCCAAATAATTTTAACGTATCTATAACATAATGTCACGCCATCTTTTATAACATTGTCAGAACTTTATAATTGATCATATAGAAGTCATTTTATATCTTTTTCATTAAATTATAATATTTGTAAATAGTTTTATATGTTAATACATTAATATAATAATAGTAATAAAAATATTGATATATAAAAGTTATAATAATTCATTTATTTAAATATGACTTCTATATATAAACAAATGTTATTAAGTTCTAATATACGTTAAATTAAATGTAAAATATTTTATTTTAGATACATGAATGCTTTTTCCATATATTATTTGTCAAATTTTATTATTTAAGCATATATGAATTTGAACCATTCATTCAAAAGATAATTATTAAAAATTGTAATAAAATAATAAGCAAATTATGCTTTTAATTAGAATTTAATCAACGTAATTATACTTTTCTATATGTATTACTTTCGAACAGTGGTGTGAAGATCTTTAGCTAGCCAAGATTGAATTTGATATTTAAAAAGCGCTTCGTCAGCTTTTTTCACACACGGTTCAGAAGTGCCATCTAGCAAATAAATTCATCGCGTTATTCAGCAATATTCCATAGACTTCCTTTAGCTTCGCAAGTAATTTACATTTTGAACTGGCATTTGACTATTTACCTTTAACTAAAAGAGTTCCTAACTGAATTTACTTTCAGTCATGGTTTTAATTACCCCTGGTGCTTTCTACTAAATATTTATAGAAAGTTATTCTTTATATATAATATTTACATGTGCACATGTGTACTTCAGGGGATAGTATACATAATATGTACCGCCTAAAATTGAGAAGCTAAACAGAAATTCAACCAACAAAACTGTTTTTCTACATTTTTCTTCTTTAAATTTCTCATTTTACAATCTTTAAAAAATTTTCTAAAAATAAACATCTATAATATGATGATTTAAATTATTCGTGTTATCACATTTCACGAAATTATTCGATTGCAATGGTGATGGGATTGCGGTGGGATAGGAGGGACGGAAATAACGAAACTTTTAAACTTACCTATGTTAATTTTTTTATATTTTTTAAAGATATTTGCGGTTTTTATTTTTCTTTTCGATACTATATAATTATTGTACTACAAAATCGTTTTTCATTAAGCGCTATTTCTTATTTTATAAAATTTTTTACATAATAAACATACAAATATTAAAAGAAAATTGAAATTTCAAAGAATTTTTTTAAAGAACGAATATTTAAAAAAAGATAAACTTATGAATAAATACGCTTCATATTAGTATCGACAAAAATTAGAAAATGAGACATCATTAAAAAATATGAAATTAAAAAATTGTGTATACATATCAAATAATGACAATAAAACTGATTAATTTAATTAATCTCGTATTACTTTATAAACTTCAACACATGTCATAACTTTAGAATTTTATCAATTTAAATTCTATTTGACCTAATAACTAAATAAGAAGTTTAGAATAAATTTTTTATAAAAAAAAAAACAAAAAAGAATTTAAAAATAAAATTTACTTGCTTTGAAATATTCAATTTCTTCTTTAAAACTTCTTAACTTTATTTAATTTAAATTTATTTTAAACTTTACATACTTCATCCTATTATCTGTAAATTTTTAACATATTTCTATTAAACTGAAAACTTTTCAGTAATTTATGTAATATTAATTTCCAAACAATTTTATAGAATTAATTTTTATATAAAATAAATAAAACTTCTTAAAAGATTTTAGTATATTAATACATTATAGAGACAAATTAAAAATCAAGAATTATAAATCTTATCTGGAATACATTTAAAATATAAACCAAAAAATATCTTTAAAAAAATATTGTGCATGGAAGAGCAAATAATAATTTTACGATTATATTAATTCTTGTAGACGTAAATTTTAGATTAAATTATGGAATGAAACCTGTCAAATTTATTAATATTAAAAGCTAGAAGGCTGATAACTATATACAATTAACCTAAAGAAGGAATAAAATGTTAAAAAATATATACCCAAATGTTTTTATAACTTAATAAAAGAATTGTTATATAATATTCAGGATTAAAAAATATTATTTCACATATATTTAAAGATGAAAAACAAATAGATGTAATGTAAAATATTTCAGTAGTTACTATTAATTTTTTAAGATACATAGTAACTTGAAAATGTTATTTCTATATGATTTTTGAATAACTCTATATTTATAACTTCATACGAAAGTCATTATTATAATTACTATAATTATAATTACAAATAATCAAGTTTTTGTGCATAAATGCAATTATATATGTATGTATAAAAATATTCACTGCTTTGACTCACGCTATAAAAGTTATGTACTAATGATACATTAATTAGAATTGAAAATAAACATAGATTGTAATAAAAATGTGTTTGATCAAAATGATCAAAAGCTTTATATGTTATTCAGCAAAAAATACATTTATAAATTTTCTCTATAATTCATTTAATTAATCATTTTTAGAATATTAGTAAAAAAGATACAAATTTAATGTACATAAAGAAAATACTTTTACAAATACAAATTATGATACATTTTTTCGTAATTTGAATTTAAATTATTTATTATTTAGAAGTGAAAAATTAATTTATATCGATTTTAATTATATTATTTCAATTGTTGAATTTATTTATTCAGTTATTGTAAATTATTATTGACATCGATTTATTTTCCTTTCATTTTAAATACAATTTAAATATCTCAGAATGAACTGATTTACTAACGTATTTTTGAAACTATTATATAATGCAAAATTTGTTATAATGAAAACAGCATTCATTTAAAATATTTTATTCTCAGTATTTTTTTTCAATAATTATAAAAACAAAACAAAACTTTTCTTAGATTAAGAAAGAATTAGATGAAAATAGAGTAAAATAAACATTACTTTGATTCAATTTTTGAATTCTGGTTTGTTAAGTTACTTAAATACAGTAGTATAGTATACGATTATAAACCATAATTTAATTTTTGTTCTTTTTAAAATAAAATTATGTTTTATATACCTTTTTAGTAAAAATTATAATTATAAATTATTTCAAGTGATTATAAAATCGATGATTGGAATAATCACCCTTAACTGTATTCCCCAATAAATGTCAATCTTATAAGTATTACCGTATAATATATCAAATGTATAAAAATTGAAATTAATGTTACGATAAAATGATAAATTAAAACAATGAAATTTACTATGAAAATTATTCATAAATTTCCGAAGGATGATTTAGGATAGATCATATTTATGGTATAAATTTCCAAACCTTATAAATGAATGCTGTAATATATAATATAATATAGATCTTTCTTATTTGCCTTGAAGAGTGCAACTTACTAGTTGTTATTATAAATTATATTTATATATTTACAAAATAATTCAACATGGTTGAAAAAAGAATTATTGGACAGTATTCTTCTTATATAGGTGTAGAAATAACACTGTACATACATATGCACGTCAAATATGATTTTACTTATTTTACATTCATGTTGTAAATGTAGTTGTAATAAGAAATTAGTCATATAAGACATATCCTTGATTAGCCTAGGAAAGTCTTTAAATAAATAAAAAGCTTAAGATTTATCTAACATAGTAATTAAGTATGTCATGTGAGTATTTAAGTAATAAAGTATAAAAGTATAAAATAAATGCTTATAATTTTTTTTGATTAATTGATTCATATAAATATTGTTTAATATTATTACTAATATAAACTATCATTGACATTATCTATCGAAGAACACTGTTCCCTTTTTATAATTTCATCAATGTCATCAAGCAAAGAATTATTACGTATAAGTGGAGCATTGATTATTTTATTTTGTAAATTATTATCAAATTGTAAGTCGTATGAGCTATTACTACTTTTTTCTTCGATTAAATTAAAAGATGATTGTGTAGAGTTTACGTTACTTTGATCTAACAAAAATTGATTGGATTTTTCATCTTCTAAGACTACATAAGATTCGGTTTGATTTGTTGGTAATACACTTGCTAATTGAATTATGTTTATATTGCAAGTGCAAAATACTTGATGATGTAAAGCGCATGGCTCTTTTAATTGGGTTAATGTACAAGCAATAGGTATCGATTGTACATTTCTCGAAACAGAAGCCGAATCATTAATTTTATAATATATTGAAGATAAATCTGATTGATCATTGTGTTGTATTGGAGTTGGCTCCACTTGCTGAATCAATATTGGATTCGTTGTTTTGATTTGGCTAGCAGGGGTATGTTTCAAGGTATAATTGTATTTAGATGTCCATTTCGGTTCATCAGAATGTACAAGAGTAGGACTTAATTTGTTAGAACAACTACAGCTCAATGGTCGTGAACAAAAAAAAAGTGATTTTAGTTTTCTAGCATTAGATATAGAATTAACAAAATATGAATCAATACTATCATGATTACGATAATTAAGAAGCGAAATTGAATTTTTATGAAAATTTTCTTTTTTTATTATTGCAACATTTCTTCTTGCTTCTGCTTGTTTTCTTTCATATTTACCTACTTCCATCGAGGTAGCTCTGCGTCTAGTCGATTTTTCTAATTTTGCATTTGGATTAATCATCCACCACGAACTTTTCCCTACGCCCTCATTGGGTACTCGAATAAAACGATTATGTAAGGAGAGGTTATGACGCACAGAATTCTTCCACCCAGCACTACTATTATTATCACCTTTATCCTTAAAAAAGGGTACATTGTTCACCATCCAACCATATATTTGAGATAGGGTTAATCTTTTGTCTTTGACACTACTAATAGCCAATGTAATGAGTTCTGCATAGCTAAGATTGCCCCAGGCATTTTGCCTTGATGACTTTTTTTTAATCGATGGAAACTCTGTAATCTGAGTCACATGATTATTTTGAGTTTTAATATTAATTTTCATTGATTCATTGCTACTAGTCACCGTTACACCATCGATCAAAGGTCTATCTACGTAACCGTGAGGTTCTGGCATGGGCCACGTATTAGACCGGGTACGTGTTAATGGCTCAAAATTGCCTTCCAAATCGCACATTTCGAAATGTATAATATTATCATCGAACATTTTAATAAATTATATTGATTGGTCTTAAGGTTTTATTCTTTTTTATGATAATCGATATAATTAAACAAAAATTTCTATTTCCAAATGATTCCAGAAAGTGTGTAGCATATCTCGCTGTGCTAAAATGATCTAGTAACAATCTAAAACAAAATAAAAACAAATAATAAATCAAACTATATAATGTTTTAGTTTATTTAAAATGATGATAGTTTAATTTATATTTTTAAAAATATTGTTTAAAATAAAATAAGTTTGAAATAAGTTCATTACAAAAAATATTTTATAAAATATATTGTAGCAATTAAGTCAACAAATACGATGGGCATATACAAGTTATTTATTTATATATTTTTAATTCAAAATGCATGCTATAAAAAATAGGTATAAAAAGACGAGAAATTCTAAATTTAAAAAGTATATTAAAATTTTCAAATATTAAAATAAGTTAAAAAATATATTTTTTCCTAACGCAATTGTTAAAAATAAAATAAAACTGAGACGTTCTACTATTTTGTAGTAACCGAATGATATTTTTATAACTTAAATTATTTTATATATTAAATATTTTTTATTTATAATTAATACCCTATATGCTGTTTAAGTATCTAAATCATTGTTTAATTTTATAAAAAGAGAAATAAAATTGATTTTATTTAAAAATAACTTAAAAAAAGTTTATTTAAAAAGAAACCAAAAATCATTTAATGAAACTATAAATAATTATATATTCCAAAATTTTCACTTCTTCGGTACATTACTAATAGTATACTTAATTATAAACAAAAATAATTGAACAACTAATAATTAAAAAAGGAAACTCATGAAACCTACAGTTTCATAATATTATTATTTTCTGATATTATCGCATGTTTTTATATAAGCAAATAATAGCATTATAAAACTATGGACTGCAAAAGTTACGATTAAATACGATAATGAAATAATAAATGATCAAATATTAAATTTGTATTGTAAATATTTACCGTTATACCAGCATAATTAATGAATAATTATATATATTTTATTCTATTACGAAAATAAGAATTGACTTTAAGTCACATTTTTATAACGTTTAGATATAATGAAGATTGAAATGATTGTTATTTAAATATCAATATAATCAAATAATAATATAAATTATATTAAAATTGATTTTACATAATATTAGTTGTGTAAATATTTTATATACATTTTCATTAGAATAATCAAATTTTTTTTAATAATTAAGAATTATCAATTTACTTCATAATAGTAATTGAAACCAATATTTAATTAATTGCTTTCTGTTAAAATAATAATTTTAAATTATTTTAAATATTTTGAGAACTAAAAAATCAATAAATAGATATAAAATATTTAAAATGAAAACTATAGAATTATAAAACAATTAAAGATCATGGTTATTCAATGTTTATTTTTTTCCTAATAAAAATACAAAATATAAATTGTATATAATAAATATTTAGATAATATCAATTAATAAACAGTACAGTATTCTACTTTTGAAATACTGAAATAATAATGTACTGGTTTTTCGCGAAATGAAACATAATATAATATGGATGTACTTACAACATTTACTCTTTAATAATATATAGTGATGATTATGATCTATTATGTATTTTTTGTATTTTTAAATATTAGTGTTTAATACCATTTTTGAAATTATATTGAATTTATATTAGTCGTTTTCAATATTACCCATAATACAATATTAAACATAAATTATTAGTATATATAAATAAAAATGTTAATCGATTAATTATAAAATAGTAAATTATAAAACTTATGTATAGTATTATTAAAATATATTATTATTATATTATTATTATTATTAACTTATATAGTATTCTTGCCTGTCATAGATGAATATTTTCAATAATTTTACAGCTGAAAAATAAAACGAAGGACTCTAAATTATGTGATAGAAATTCAAGTTGATTCCTAGAACTATTATGCAGGTAGTTATACTGTAAATTTTGTTCGAATCCTATACATATTAGACATTTATTTTCTAAGAATCTTTTAGAATTGACTGTACCAATAGTAAGTACTTCATTTGAATCTAAATTAACTGTACTACAAAATTCGTTCCCGCTTTGTTAATACAAATAAATTCAATAATTCCAAAACATATTTGGACTCAGTAATATATGTGTAAATATAAGATGTTTTAGTTTTGAGAAATACCTGAGCATATTAATTTTAATAAAACTATTCGATATATATAAATTTACAATTTTTTTTTTGTATTATTTATGTTAATAAAATATTATTTATATATAAAATTATTATAATTTATCATTAATAAATGTTTTCAAATTTTAATAAAAGTTTATGAAGCTTGAAAACGTTCCAAAGTTTCAAAGTATGTTTTCCTTTATTTAAATTAATTAAAAAATAACATTTTTATTTAATTACATTTCTAATTATTTAGTATTAATTAGTATTTTATCATCCTCGTTAAATATTTATATCCTTAATATACAATCAATATAGGATAGAAAGTATGTTTATATTTGAAAAATGTAAATAATTTCTTAACTAAATAAACCAGTGATTTTTAAGCAAAAAATGATTTATATTATATAATTTATGTTAATAATTATTTAGGAAAAAGCAATATATTTAACTTTTGAAAATGAGCTGTAGTTGTTTTTAATCATTAAAAGCGATTAACATTGTTAAGAATTAATTCCTCAATTACAAACTATGTTTAGTAAAAGCATTGATGTATACTTCCTTCTTTGTAATTATAATCAATTTTTTTTAAAAAATTCACGTATTAAATAATCCAACAATTACAAACCCGAATTTATTTTTCATATTCGTGTTTTCTTTTTAATTTAATTTTAATTTTGTTCCCATATTTTTTTATTGTTTTTCATATAAAAGTTATTGATAAATGTTCATACTCATACATTTTATAAAACTATTTAGGAAATCAATAATTGAAATTTTCAGATTATTCCATTAAACTATATATTTATTATATTTTAAGTATTATTATATATAAATGTTAAATAATTAATTAAATATTAGGACGATATTAAATAAATAATATAATTAAGAAATAATAAATTCTAGAAAACGTATGTTTTCTAAGTTTTTTCTTTTTATTTAATTTTAATATTATACAGATATGTTGTAGCAAATTAGGAATATTCTTGATATTTTATTATACTTGATTATTTTATTATACTTTAATATATTATTTAAGACATGCATGCTCCTAGTAGAGTATTTCATGAAATTTAAATTCTAATGTAAACACTACACAGCCGTAATTTCTTCTAGTAGCCATATTTAAGCACCCTATACATATATTATACGCGTAAATTTCATAAATTAACAAAATATTTTAATTAATGTATAGCTAATGTATTTGTTCATTTGAAGTTAATATCAATTTGAGCGATATTATTTTTAAAGAAATAAAAGTTTTCCTTTTATAAAAAGTTCGAATGCTCTTTGCATGCATATGTGTGAATAAGTGTTTCTTTAGTTTTTTATAATTGCATGAGAAAATATTCTATTTCAAAAAGTTGAATCTTAAACTATACTTTGTTATATAGATTTTGATTAATAAAACAGAAACTGATGGTAATTAATTAATTTACTTTAGTATTTGTAATAAAATTATTATTTTGAATTTGGTATAGGTGCTCTTTTAGCCTACCTTATTAATAGCCGTTTTATCGTTGTTGCAGATTTTAAATTCTTCATGCACGTGGTCAAAACATTTCGCCTGTTCCCGTTTCCTTAACGTATGCGCCTCTATAGGAAACCAACCCCCGCTGAAATTTTCGCGTCGAAGGTCGGTTAGGAAGGGAGGGGGGAAACTTGCTCTTTTAATTTCGAAGAGAGGTGGTCACTTCGGCTCAGCGTACTTGTATTTACTTTTCATTTTCTTCGCTCGTTGAGTGTGCACTTGTTCCTGGAAAGGTGGCCCTACCTTCTACCAACTGGAAGACCCATCCGATATACGCACTGCTCGATGCCTACGATTGCACTGATCCGTAATTCCAGAAAGGGCTTCATTTTACATGACGTATTTTCAAAACACGTGAAATATTGATTGCCCAATGTATTATGAACAAAAATATAGCAAATAACATTTCTAAAATATCCTCATAATTACTTCAATAAAACCAATGTATAAAAATTCTCACTTGATATGTCTGTCCCCTTGTGCAAATCATTCTTCCGTCTTTGAATCCTTACCCTTTTCAACTTCTTCGAACGCACATACATAATATTGAGACTATGTTAACCCCGAATTTTCAGCAGTATTGACGTATTTTAAATGTGGAACTACCAAACAAGTATGAAAAGTTTGAAAAGGGAGAGGGGGGAGGGAAA